CGAAATGTTAGACCGATTACGGGACAACCTATTGCTCGAATCGGATGCCCGTTCGTTGTTTGTTTAGTTCGTTGAGCAAGCAACACATCCGGGCTCATGTCATCTTGCCTCTTCACAGTAGTAATAACCATCATCCAGTGCATCACAATAATACACATCACCAAGATTACCTGAGATAGCGGCCACGATAGCATCCTCCTTCTCGTGCTTCTTCCTCTCAGCATCTTCGGCAGTTTCGTTGTATCTACCACAACGACTACTTATTACACAGGAATGCCTGCCGGCTCACTTCTCCAAATACTGCATCTGATTACCAACCTTCGCCGTATTGTGCCGCTCTCCTTTCCGTACGAATACCTAAGATGATGAACATGCACACAGACCTATTCCTCCGCACAGATGAACTCACTGGCTTGAACCGTGGCCCGGCGAGCAGAGGCCCCTCGTCTTCGTCACTATCACTGCTCGATTCACTCTCGCTTGATTCCTCCTCTTCTTCCTCTTCCTCTAGCTCCACGTCCTCATCATCTTCCGAAGTTGCCCCATCGCGTTCTGAAGAACGGAAGTACTATACAAGGGCTCCATATGTCAGTAATTGATCAAAGCCATCGACCTCAGCCACTGTTTTCTATCATGGAACAAGCTTACTCGCTGCAGCTGCAGCTTCCTCCTCTTCCTTCACTCTCTCCTCAACAGCATGCCTCTGAGGAAAGGACAGGGATTATCGGACAGTTCGGTATGGAGTTCTAAACTTGGAGAATAAAATACTGAAAGTGTTGGACTATGTGAATTTACCCTTCTGAGCTGATAGTGAATATTTTCACACGATGGTAGGAGTATATAAACCTCTGTGATAGTCATTAGCACGTGTAGCAGGCCATGTGCCTTCTTCCCACCCTGCTCACCGATCTGGCGATAAGGGCCGCTCGATTACCCTCGTTATCAGAGTCTTCATCATCCTCATCATCGCCACCTACCCATGAATGACGAATATCCAACTAGCATCCGTCACGCGCCATGAAATTATTCCGGCTGATCTCACCTGTCGTCACCACAGCCGCCTGATGCTTCGCACGCTCAGCTGCCAACTTCCGCTAATACAAAAATCCATCCATCGAATTCGCTAAAAAACCCGGTCTACCGCGCGCGCCAGGAGCTCAGCCCTGCCAGGCCCATCATCATCTGATTCCGAGCCGCTCTCCTCACTATCGGACTCCTCTGTACGTGATACGACCCGAGGAGCTACCGGCTGGGGTCGTCGCGTTGAAGTCACCTCTTCCTCCTTTACCTAGTGGGTCGGACCTTGCTTGGACCTGCTCCACAGTTACGGTCTTACCTCTTGCCTGTCTCGCTGCTCAGCCTCCTCCTGATCCTCCATCTCGTGGACGGCAAACTCGGGCATCTATAGAGAGAATACGGAATCATTTCATTGATCGCCTGCACGCTCACCTTTCCCCGACGATATCGAGCAGGCCTGACTGGCTGGGGATGCTGGATCCCCTTAGTCTTGATGATGGAGTATTGATCAGCGGCCGACATTGGAAGGATGAAAGGCCAGGCCTTAACTGCATAGAATCACGACTCTCTCTCGCCGTGTCACTCCCTCTACCGTCCACAACTATGTCTGAATGGTATCCTAGGGAATCTAGCACCATGCAGACTAAGATTCAGATCATGTCCGCTATGTGGCCATGAAAAAACTCAACACCGATCGAGCAATGAGCCAATATGTGAAACGTAAAT